TCATTCCTGTTCGATATTTGTTCGAACTCAAAATTCTTCGAGCAATATTTGCCTCATGGCGGCGAAGTATTGGGTTGGAGCATAATATCGTAGCGCTTGCATTTTTCTTTTTTTCACACAAACATTTTGAAGCAAAAAATAAAAACATAAAACTAATCAGTGATGTTCACTTCGTCATTATTTACAACTTTGATTGCATTTCGCAGGAGATCACCGGATGTAGAATTTAAAACGAAATATTGAGCTCGTTTTTGGAGTCCTTATTATTCTCAATTTGTACGAAATGAAATTATTAATTAATTTGAGCGAAAAAGGTAGGGTCTGTTAGAGCAAGGTTCGATTAGAGCAATGGATTCAAAGAACTTCCAATTTGGCGTTTTTTCTTCTTTATTTGAAACCGAGAATAGCAGCTGTCGAAACGCCGATTTTCGCCGTCTGGATTTTCCAACTTCTAAGCTCTATACCTGAGTACAGCTACAATTTTGAAGAAAATGACAACTACGGTTTTGTAGAGCGGAAGAGTACTTTCAAATAATATAAGCGTTTTTTGGATGATACTTGTACTGGTTGAATTTATACGCTTGAAAAAAAAACGCTACGATATTATGCTATGTTGTTGCAGCAAAAATGCATCTACACCGTCAGCCAGGAAGTACTGGAAGGTCAAACCAACATCGGAATATAGGAGTCAACTTAGATCAGTGTGCACGATATGCTTTACCATTCAGAAATGGACGCCTCTGAAGAAGGATGGTAGGAAGATTAGCGCTGTGTCTGGCTCAGTCTTCTAGCTGATCGGCAACTGAGCTAAAGGTTCGGTCGCAATGGCAGAAGACGATACGAGCTATGAAAATCAACCTCATTCTGCGCCTCCAGTCGCTTTCGATGAGAACTTGCGCCATGAATTGAAGGTTCACACGGACGCTACTATCAGTTGCCATGTACGGCTCTGAATAAACCTCGTGTAAATCCTAACCTTGTATGTTTCTAACTTTCTTCTATTGAACACGACACGAGGTTGGTAAAGAAGCTTTATCGGCTAACGTTTCGGCGGGGTCGCCTTCGTCAGAGCCTGCAAAAGCCTAATCAGTCTATGACAACCCGACCAAACGTCGCCGCCACCTTATAGAAGTTCAAAATCAACCAAAACATCACTAGCCCAAGAAGGACCACTTACCGCAATTTAGTCCGGACTTCTAAACCAGCCACAGAGCATAGCACAGCAATTCGCGGATCGGTTCAAATGAGGGTTCATACTGGAGGGTATTTGATAAAGGTCGTAACTTGCTTGGGCTGTTATCATAAGGCCTTACTTACTTGATTCTTGGCTTTTATTAGTGCGCTTCTTGTTCCTTCTTGGTGCATTACTTTAGGTTTTGGTCTACTTGTCTTTGTCTTCTGTGTCGTTTTGTCTTTTTGGGGGACGATTCGAGTGATTTGTCACTGATGCGTGACCAAAACCCAGTGCCCACGAGGTAAGCGTACAACGGAACGGCTGCCAGAAGAGTGACGAAGATCAATGGAAAGCCGCTTATCAGACATGATCGAGAATACATATGACACTACGGATGGTCTTCCTAGACAGTACTATCTCTACTGGAATAAAATTGAGATTAAGTCAAGTGTCCTGCTAGAGACAAGAAACAGCAGTTCATGCATGGACGCAAGGACTCGAAGAGCCATCGAAGACTACTCAAGGCTCGGAGCATTGTCCCTGGCTTTAGGTTAGATTGAGTGGGATCCCTTTTTTGTAACCCGTGCTATATCCAGAGATACTTGCGAATGCTATCGTAACAGATCTAGTAGGGTTGGCCGGCGCAGTGCGGAGAGAACCGTTGACTGTCTCAAATATTATTGTCTCCCCAAATTGAACGCCGAAATCTATTGCACGATAACTTCCACGTTTAGTCGGGAGTGGCGGCACAGGCAGCAAGTTCTTATAACGGCCCGGACTGCCCGTGTTCGTGTCATCCTCACAGTGGCTCGAGCAGCGAGAGCAATGAGAGGGAGAAAGTCAATGACTTCGCCCCAGAAAACGACCTTGCGTAATTTGTTGCATTCTTATTCTGGAATGTAGGCACTCAAGGTTCACTGGCAGCGGGAGCTTATCAATGATTACGATAATTGTTGTAATTTCTTATCAACGTGAATTTTGAAAGATAAAAGTTAAAAAATAAAAGTGTCGAAATTCGGACAGTTATTATGGTACAATCCAATACCTGCCTTTATAGTGTGCCACAGTTATTTTTTGTTGTATTTTTTACAGGTGCTTCTGATGGAAAGTAATTCTTTATTAAACGCATTCTTCAAAATTTACAGAAAACTTGGACAGCTCTCAGCTAGTCCTAATTTACTTCTTCTTCCCGGCGTAGCTGTTTGATGGAGCAGGGTATTCTGGAAGACGAAACATTGTGCCTTAAATGTAGGCTGCTACAGAAAAAAAAACTCACGTGGTGGTGGAGGAGCATAGGAGATTGGAGGAGCACCGCCACCACATCCGCCTCCACATGGTGGAGGAGGAGGTGGAGGACACGGGCACGGCGGCGGTGGAGGAGGTCTGAAAAATCACGAGGTCAATTGACAAAATCAGAACTACCTTGGCTGCAGTTATTGGATTGAAAACTTACGGGCAACATCCACCACCACCACCTCCACCTCCGAGAAGGTTGAAAAGGAAGGCGTCAGTCATCGAGAAGAGGACGATAAAACACAGAACGGAGGCTTTCATGGTGAGCTTGTTGACTATTCGTGAAACATGGCTTATATAGTGTGGCGCTAAAGTTTCAAGGCTGCCAATTGAATGCAAATTCGTAATTCCAGTTCCGGTATTGAGAGATGTAATCGCGCAAAGGCACGAGATAATTGACTTAAGAAGGTGTGGCGCTTATGCAACGAGTTTTTCGTGTAAACTCGATCCCGTATGAACTATTGCTTTCACGGAGTTCATGGTTCACACAGTCAGCGCCCCTTCAATCACACACAAGCAGAAATATACCCAAAAGGATAGCGCAGTTGCCACTAGTAATGTCTTCTGGTACACGCCATGTATCAAAGTTATATTTAGAACACCAGAATAACTGGCATATGTAGAAAATTCCCCGGTAACCTTTCAATATCCACTTCAGCTAGCCCTAGGCTTTCCTATTGAGAGTCTTCCCTATGACCTGATCCCGTCGAGTTTCTTTACTTTAGGATCGCCGCTTGGGGGAGGGGGGTGGGGGACATGGGTACTGTTGCTTACGTTGACCTGTTTTTTTCATTTGCCTTTTCTTT